GTATAATTTATGAATTATTTTGTGTTATACAAAGTAAAGTATACGCCACAGGCTGGTAGTCCAGCTTTACCTTCACTGGGTCTTGGCAGTCCTTTCAGTCTGGGATAAAAGCTTAAATCTTTCTTGAGAGTAACTAAATAACACCTTGATGCCACACACACACACACACACATGAACATCCAAATCCATCTCACTGGAAAACTGACCTCATTGTGGCTGGATTTAGTGAAGGCAAATCTGGTATTGTCATTGAGTCTGATTTCTCTTCAGGTCCACTGGCCAGTCTACCAGTGTGTTGTCTATCTTTTTTTTTCTTTCCCTCTCTTTTGCTCTTTTGCTCTTTTCCTCTACCCACCCCTTTCCCAATTGCATGTGCTCATTTTTTCCGCTCTCTCTGGGGAAACAAGGCTCTCTTTTCTGTGTACCAATGCGTATGTATGTGTACATAAGAGAGTGTTTGTGTAAACTGGAAATGGACTCTTTGCGTGTTTTTCACATCTGGCAAACTCCATAACTATTCAAAGACATAATATTGTTTTTGCGTGTGTGTTTGTGTGTGTGTGTGTGCGCGCGGGCAGTATCATGAGAGCTCTAATAGATTCTCAATCTCGACCCTCCTGACCTCACTCAGAAATTGCTTGTTGTTGGGGTCTTTAGATCCCCAGCAGACTTGCAGGGTCGGTCAGAGCCTTCAGCAGCAACAACAGAGATGTGTCCTTCTCAGCCGAGTGGAGACAAGGATATATTTTCAAAGTATAGGCTAATTAGTTTAAAGATGTAAAAATGTATCCAACATACTGTATGTATTCTCTATTACTGTAGCTTTATCCCAACATTGCACATCTAGTACATACCTACACACTTACTATGAATACATCTTTAATTCACATTTAATGCTGTATATATGCTGTAAAAAAAAAAGTCCTCTGTGTGTCATATCTTCTTAAAAAACATGTTATCAGTGTATTCATTTATTTATATAAAATGCAGACTGTAGAGATTAGCCATCAACATAAACCATGTCCATGAACATTAAGGTGTTGCAATCATTTCAATAATCTCAATCATTTGGCTGGTGAAAAAGCTGGTTTACTGCAGCCACCTTGGCCCGTAGGCTATAGCTAAACAGTTCATTTTGTTCAGCCCTGAATTTTACAGCACGCATACATCTTCTACACGCTTGTAGTTGTTGTTTGCCTCAGTGGTAACCTGTAATCAGCAAACTCCATCCGCCGGTGGAAATCTCCTTCCACAAAGTTTAACAGGAGCATATCTCTAGTCACCATTTGTGATATGAGCCGCTTTATCTTCTCTTCTTCTGCCCTGGTAGCATCACAGCGTTGCTTGTTGACTTTAGCAAATAAGATGATAAGAGGTTGCCTGTTGTCCGTCTCGCTTGTTTCCTCCTTACTTTCTCCTAATCCACAAATGGTTATAGTTGTTCTGTGATACAGAAGTTTAGTTGAATTAAGTTTTATGTTACAAATCTTGCACTGCACGTTCATTTCGTCTTTTTTTTCTGTGACTGAGCGTGTTGAACGTTATTGACGGCTACACATGCGCAAATAAGATTAGTACTTGATACAGCGAACGAGTACCGACATCCAAACAAGTACTCGAGTACTCGTGCCTATCCCTAGTAGGGATTTGTGATTTCAGAATAATACAGGGTGGCATGATGGCTCTGAGGAGAGCTCTGTCTTATCATAACACAAAGGTCCTACGTTTTAATCAGCTGGCTAAGGGCCAGGGAGATGTCGGGACGTGGACTTTGTGGGTTTCCTCCAGGTGCTCCAATTCTCTCCAAAATCACTGAATTAGAAAATTGCTTGTCTGTAAGAATGTATGTCAATTAGAGTGACCATGCTGTGAGACTCTACCTGACTTGAGACTTGGGTAAAAATGCTGAGGAGAGCTGACTCGGTGACATGGTAATATTGAAAATTGCTGCACTGAACGTATTGTGTATTTTGGAGCGCTGCCACATTGTCATGAATAATTAATAACATAACGGAGATACATGCAACAAGCTGCTGCTGTCACTAGAATAAAGAAGACTCTAAGTTCAAATGAGATAACCCTTTCATTTATTTATCATTTCATCTTTAGCAGATCATATAGTAGATCCATGAAAATATTCTGAATTTACGCAGGCTATAATTCCTGTTAGAAGTTACGTTATGTCCTTTTGGTTTTCGTAGAATATGTAAGAGTATTATTGATGTTTTTTCACTTGTCAGTTGCACTGATTAGGCTATCATAAATAATGGATTGTTGATGTCTTTCGACCTGTTTTAAACCAGGGTGTTCCTCTGCAACTCTGCACAGGAAAGTGAAGACAGAAATTGGATGATCGATTTACAGCAAACACACCACATGTAACTCTGAGGCCCATTTTGTGTGTTTATTCTTGTTGCGGTCATTCTGAAATTGGCTTTTCATTTCACTAAGTTTTGAAAATGCATGCTGTGTTTCTTGGCCGCAACCAGCACTTACTGTCAGTCAGTCCCAAACAGGGAAAGACTGTTCACATGGCACTTTGGTAACCAGTTAGCATTTTTTCACCTATGGGCTGGCAACTGAGTAACTGACTTTTGGAACAGCTGAAGGTTAAGAGGCTTGCTCAAAGGGGCACCTTAGTGACAGCTACTGAGATGCCGTACACTTCAACCATCCAGACTTGTGTTGCTTGTCTGAGATATCATACCAGATATGACACCTACACACTACAGATCCTGAGTAAGTCCATTTCTAAAGGATTTTATACGGCTGCATACATTAATCCAATGGCACACATTCCTTGTTCAGTGCAGGCGCAGTAACATCTTGTACTGCTAAGCAGCTCCACACAGCGATTAGAAAAAGCAGTGGAGAAGAGACAGGATTTCCTCATCCCCTAAAAGTTTTCGGCTGCAATAAGAAAATTCTCATTTCAATTCTGCATTTAGAGTGTCACTCAGCAAGAAGCTAAAACGTGATCTGGATCCAACCTGAGCCCAAAATAGCATCTGGTCTAGCTTTGTAGGCAGAGCGGTAAACATGTATGTATCACAGCAAGCACCAGTCTTGCTGTGATACATACATGTTTGCCTTCAGTCGCTCAGGAGAACTCATTATGCATGACATTGAATAATGTCATGATTGATTAATTATTTAGGCAGAAGCAGGAAGGCTACAGTACATTCCTGTCCAGGAGTTTAATGTACATATTCATGCTCAGGGGAAGGACATGTCTTTTAGAAATTAGAATACAGAAATGTCATTTTATAGAGCAGCTAAACATCATTGTGCAGCTAGAGTGTGATCACACTGAAATCACAGGCATGCCATGTTTCTGAAATGACTAATAGGCCAAGATTATATTAATAGAGCAAGAGATCAAGTTAAGGAACTTAAAAGCTCACAGTAAGTGCTGTGTGGAGGAATTCTGTGGGATTTTATTGCTGTTTTTGGTAACTGGGATGTAGGCTAGTGTGCCCTCAGGGTCCTGCTAGTCTGTGACAACATACAGTGTGTGAGTGAACAGCCTCGATAACATGATTGGCTCAGTAAGTATTTGTTTCTTTACACAACATAAAGCTTGACTGGCAGCCTGCTAAGTTTAGAAAATGTCACCCTTTGTAATCCGTTATAACAAGGTGAAATAGTACCAGTTTTTCAGCATTTCCCCCAGTAAGACAGTTTGTTATTAAAGAACACTGATTTGCTGAACACTGTGTCCTAAAGCTGAGAAAACAAAACAAGTGTTAGTCCCCCTATGGTTGGTTCTGTGGTGTCCTACTCATACTGACTACACCTTCAAAAACGCTTTCTTGTCGTCTGATAGTTTAGGATAATTAGATTTGATACATGTTATCATTTTAACGTACACATGCACAGTATAAAAGTACAGGTTAATAAAAAAGTAGTCCCTTTCCAAGGACTGTACTATCTGCAGGTCCAATAAAGCAGCAGCTGCTGTCCTCTTGTCCGCCACAGAGAGTTGCCCAAAGAGTGTTTTTCTCGTGTTATAAATTATTTAACATTGGTCTGGGGATTTCATTTATGTGTTTAGTTCATTAACACTTCATACTGCTTTATATGGAGACTCTACCACCCTGCTTTATAATTATTGTGTTAAAATATATAGAAGGGTCCGGGCCATCTGGGCAGATTAAGAAGAACTCAAAGACTGCTATTCAACCCTTACAAGAAACCCTTTAAGAGGAAGTGTAGAAAACACATGGAGAACAGTGCTGAACAAATCTGTCTGTGGAGCAATTCAGCTTAAATGATGCAAGCAGGTAGACACTTTTGCAAACTGCTTGTGTTTTCTGTTTCAGTTTTATACTTTTGAAATGATGTGTGTAGGATTTAATCTTCACTTGAATGTGATGCATTTTAGCACAACAGATACATCAGAAGAAGGTGGATAGCTTTACAAATGACTTAAAGTAGGTATTTTGTTTCTGTCAGCGTAATAGATCTAATATTGCAGATGACAAATCGGCAAGACTGATGCGAGTATTGACAATGGTGTAGTGCTCTAAAAGTACTTTAAAGAATGGCCACAGTCATAAATAAATACAACCAACTAAGTAGAAACAGCTGGGAATAAGGACTAGACAACCATGATTAAAGAGCATAGTTTCATTGGAAGAAGAGACGTTACTGCTTATCTTTTAACTTTGTTTTCCTCCCTCTAATGCTCTGTTTATCTTTTCAGTGTGATCATTTTTGATTTTCTGTTTCACATTCCCTCATCCTGCTCTGATGTGCACAGTTTGGTGTTACCACTCAGTTTCTTCTTCCCTCATTGTTTGCGGGTAGTTTCCAAAGTTGTGTGAGTTGGAAACTTCTACTTCCTCTGTAGTTCTCATCTATAGACACTGTTAACTCTCTTCCTTCTTGTTTTAAGTGCAGAACTTAAGCAATCCAAGTAAAAGATGTGTGTGTGTGTGTGTGTGTTTGTGTGTATGTGTATGTGCTGTCCTAACTGTGAGTCTGTGTCTTTGTTCCAGGAGGCTTAGGTGAGCAGTCACCATGGCACCCTTCCTGCGTATCTCCTTCAATGCTTATGACGTGGGCGTGCTGCCCCCTCTTTCTGACCCTCCCATCTGTGCCGTCAAGATGAAGGAGTCTGTCAACACAGGTATGTGCAGATGTACACACACCTGTATGCAGTCATAATTTTATGTAGCACAGTGAACTGGAAGACCAGACGTTCTAAGTTGCCTTAACAGCCACCATCTGCTGGGCTCAAAAATCTATAAGCATACTGACTCTATCAGCTCCAGGTGCTTTGTGCTGTCGCACTTCTTGTGACTTCCCTGAGAAAGGAAAAATAAAAGACAAACATTTTGTTCCCAATGATGACCCCAATCTTCTTTCACAGAGCGTGGAAAGACCTTGGTCCAGAGAAAGCCCACCATGTATCCAGCCTGGAAGTCCACTTTTGATGCTCACATCTATGAGGGGCGTGTCCTAGAAGTGGTCCTCATGCAGAGCACCGAGGAACCATTGGCCAAGGCCACGGTGGGCGTGTCTGTGCTGGCAGAACGCTGTAAGAAGTCCAAGACCAACAGTCGCGCTGAGTTCTGGTTAGACCTGCATCCGTCAGGGAAGGTCCAGATGGTGGTACAGTTCTTCCTGGAGGACAGTGATGCAGGTAAAAAAAATGCTGCGTCATAAAAAGCCCCTAGCATGACTAAATAACAACAAAGTATAAAGTTATCTGCTTCATCAGGACTGGGTGGGTGTGGTTTGATCAGATTTCATCAACAGTAGCCTAGAAACTTAAGCAAGCAACCCCACAACTGTTTTGTTTCAAATACTGCTAAATCCTGATTGGAAATATGTGACACCACATCACCTTTTTGTTACTGCGCACAACCTAGTTCAAACTAGTGACAGTATAGACAGAAATCTCTCATTACAAATAACCAAAACTATTCTAACTAGACAATTGTGTGGTCTTGGAAAATGTGTTTACACTGCGTTAAAACAATGTTCCCTGACCGGGAATCGAACCCGGGCCGCGGCGGTGAGAGCGCCGAATCCTACTAACCACTAGACCACCAGGGAGTGTTGGCATGGTAGAAAATAGTCTGCAGGCCATAGCTGTTGGGGGAGAAAACCCTGCCCCCTCTATCTCCCTTCCTTTTCTCTCTACTCTCAAGTGGACCCACAGAAAGTCACTTTGTCTCAGTGTTGATATATAATGCCCTCTACCGGCAGGAAGGATTCCTCCTCTGGTGTTCATTCCCTTCACTTTCTTTTCTACACAAAGCCACAGCTTAACACGTTAGTTACAGTGTGGAGTTATGCTCTGGCCCAACTGCCCCGCAATAAACTGTCTACCTCAAGCTGTCAAGGGTTAATGTGCATGCTGGTGACATATCTTTCACTGAGCTGGTCGGTTGGCTACAGGTGTGGCCACACAGCGAATGCACTGTAACAATCCTTCAAGGTCACGTAGGAAGGCTGTACTTTGAATAGCTAAGATATTGAATGAATGTTTATGTTTATTGCTCAGCATATGTCATGCCAAGTGTTAATGGATATTTCTCTTGATACAGTGTACTAATGTTCACTAAGAACCTAAGGTTAAACAACTTTTTTTTATTTCATGCTTTGTATTTGCTTATGTAAGAGTTTTATGTATTAATGGTCTGGTCTGGTCCGTCAAGGACATTGAATCTTGTGTTAAGGAATAGCTCACAAATGATCCACCATTGGCAGCTTGAGATTGAAATCATACAGCTATCATTTATCTGCTTTCAAAAACCTATTTTAGTTTCACTTCAGCTGTTAGAAACAGAAGTGAAGAGAGCAGTGCTATTTAGCTGCCAGCTCACCAGCTCACCAGCCCCAGGAACCCAGTCTATGGTAGTCACTGTGCTGATTCTTGTCTGGGGGAGTTTCTGCGAGTAGCACAGTCGGGGTTCACTGTTCGGGGTTGGAGAGGGTCATGAGACGGGGGCATGTGTCTACTGTTATGAAGGGCTCCATACTCCATCAGCTCCCTCCTACACACTCCACAGGTTTCCTGAAAAGCAGCCCGAGGTATTTTTAGGCATGTGTGAACAACCGTCAACGCTGTCTGCCTCCTCTGTCGTATTTCTCTTGCCCTCTCTCTCACTCCCACTTACTTGGCTCAGCTCCCTGAAGCCTTGTTCAAACATAAACATCTGTCACTAGAATGGCAGAGAGAGGAAATTAGTTTATTTCTCTCACCTCATCACTCTTCCCACGTTTCCATGTGTATCAGTTGTCTCTTCTGGGGCTACTCCTCTTTTGAATTGTCCCTCAATCCCTCCCCTCCCTCTAACCCATCCACCCACCTACCCTCCCTATCTCTTCCAGAGTTTCTGCCTGCTTTGTTTACTTCTCTCACGCCTTTTTCGTTGTCCTCTCTGGATGACTTTCGACCCCACCCTGTTCACTTGCGTCAGTGGAAGCTGCTTATCCAAAATGGTATTTTTCTGTGTTTACCCTCCATTTGTGGCCTCTTTCTCTAGGTAACCGGGCTATTTGACTAAATACCCCTTGGCCATTGTAGCTAAATATTATATAATATATGGTAATGCCCACTGTGATGTAATTTCATCAATAAATCTCATTAGCTAGATTGTAAAAAGTTTGGTTAAATAAATCATCAACAAGACCTCACTGCGTGCCTGATATCATTATATTGTATTTGCAAATCAATTAAAAGTGTATGTGCATAATAATTCACTCTAAAGCTGTTTGACAATCAACATAATGTGTTTTGAATAGAGTAGAAATACAGCAGTTTGACTGGTAAATTGATCTCTCCCCTCAGCGGCGTGTAAGTCATCAGTCAAGGTTCCTCCTGAAGATGGAGTCATGACACTCAACAGGAGGAGAGGAGCTTTCAAGCAGCCAAAGGTTCACATCATCAAGAACCACGAGTTCACAGCTACCTTCTTTGGCCAACCCACCTTCTGCTCCGTCTGCAGAGAGTTCCTGTGGTGAGATGCCAAGTCCTGCCTTTGTTACATTATGTCACTGTTACGTTGTGTACTTTAGCTGGTTAACATATCAAATACTTTGGCTTTGACCTTCAGCCTGTTTTGAGTATCTTTTGAATTCCAGGGAGAGACTGTGGTAGTAATTTCCAATTCTGCTCTGTCTGGGCAGGACTTATCCAGAAGCAGCTAATTTGCCTGTCTACTTGTTTGTCTGCATTATTATTATAATCAGCATTGTGTTTTTATTAAGAGGCCACTGGCGCAGCTTTTATAATTCCAGACCATTTGTGCTGTCACCCACTGTATGTTCTCTGGGTACCAAATGAGGCAAAAACATCAGTTGTCCAATAAGAAAAGTGCAGCCTCCTAAGGTTGTTTTTCAAAAGACTAGAATTAGTAGAGGTTCTAGTTTCCTAAATGAAGCAGTCCATGGGGGGTTAGTAATGGTAGAAACAACAGCAGGCCTGCTATTGTGAGAATGACTCACTGTCTTGGGAAATCCCACAAGGCTGTCATGTTGTGTTCCAACTATGTCAGCAGCATTAACCTGCGAGCCAAGTTCCTCCCCTATCTCCCAAACTTCAGTACTATCAATCCCTTTTAGAGACAGACTGGAGAAAATCTAATGTTTGCTTTAGTCTGTACACATCTGTGTGACTATCTGACCATTTTTACAATTCCAAGTTTTAATAACATGATCTAAGATTTGAGAGACAGCTACCAGTTATGCTGATAACAAATGAGTCATTGCTGTGCTAGTTCTAGTAGCAGGTCTTTCATGTTTTTCCCAGGTTTTTTTTTTGTAGTTGCAGAATACGTTTGCAGACAGTCCAGATGTAGTTTGGTAGCTGTTGAATGAGACAGTAAACTTACATTAATGTACCTTAATGCTGCTAGCTGGAGTACATCACTATCACAACCACAATCCTAGTAATGAAAACCATCCTGGATATATTGCTTGAATATCATCTTTGTTGGGACATGTCACCCATTACACGAGTTTAATTACGTTCCTTTTCTCACATACAGGGGGCTCAACAAGCAAGGTTACAAGTGTAGACGTGAGTGTTTCATTAGATGATATCTGCATTTTTACCACATTTTATCTTTTGCATTCTTTACACTTAACATAATGTTTGTTTCACACAGAATGCAATGCAGCAATCCACAAGAAATGCATCGAAATCATCATTGGCAGGTGCACTGGGACAGCGACCAACAGTCGTGAAACTGTGGTGAGCAAAGTTAATGTTCTCCAGCATCTATGCAAAACCTCACCTCAGATCTGACACTGACAAACTGCATTTATTTTACTTTGTTAGGTTTTATTACTTTTCCTGGCTGTGGTTCAATAATGACTTTGTATACTCTCCTGCTTTATTTACATTTATTTCATAAAGTATCATTAAGTAGTTCATATCATCCTTCAAGGCTCAAATTCATTACAATTTAAGACAGATCCAACCAAAATTTGTAAAGATCAATTCAATATTTAAATCACTCGAGACGTATTTGCTGAGGAATTTCACTCTGACTTTTGCCTGCCCCTCAATGCAACTCAAAACATATTTGTCTGATCAGATAGCAGCTTCCTGTGGGTTTAATGGATTTCTGTGTTTGTAGTTCCAGAAAGAGCGCTTCAAGATTGATATGCCTCATCGCTTCAAGTACTACAACTACAAGAGCCCCACATTCTGCGACCACTGTGGCAGTCTGCTGTGGGGTCTCTACAGACAGGGTCTTAAATGTGAAGGTGGGTCTAATAGGTTTATTGTTTTTTACGCTTGTCTCAGATTATACATCTCATTTTGACATTTTTCTCTTCCGTTGTATTCCCTTTCTCCACTTTACGAATTGATTTTTCTCTTCTTTTTTTTTTTCCTCTGACCAGACTGTGGCATGAACGTACATAGTTACTGTCAGGAGAAAGTGGCCAATCTGTGTGGAATCAACCAGAAACTACTGGCTGAGGCTCTGTCTCAGATCTCTCAGGTTGGCACAGTAACACTATGTTTAGTTTAGAAAATTAAGAACAAATGATATATTGTTGATGTGTACAATGTCAATATTTTTTAATCCCTAGAAATCTATGAAGAAGTCTGAAGATCCCAATGCAGCAGATATTGGGGTCTACCAAGACATCCGTAGTGCAACAGCAGACCCTAGTGGTAAGATGTGTTCATTTTAGACTATATTGTAAAGTTGTTGGATTTAAAAATAAAAAATAAGAAATAGTTGTAATATTGTTGCAGATAGTCTGTATGTTTTTATGTACATTCTCAAATCTGTCTTCTTTGTTGTATGAGTTTGCATGCATCTTTGCATTCCAGTTTGCATAATGTATTTACTCTGCAGTTGCAAATGTGTATTTATAGCAGATGGCAATGGCAAACTACCTGAGGGCTTGAGCCCAACCCCAGCCGCACCTACAGTTCCCCGGATACGCCTCACCATCAACCACCTGGTATTCCACAAGGTGCTGGGAAAAGGCAGCTTTGGCAAGGTAGGCCCTATGGTTTAAATCCTTTCCTCAATTTAACATGAAATGATTGTGGAGACACAAAAATGTAAGGCACTGTTAACTTACATAAACTTGTTATGCCAATGATGTTACGCATATATGGCAACGAAAAAACATAATTCTTAATAATTCTGCAATTGTGTGAGTGTTTGCTTTGTAGATGAACATTATAAAGCCAGCCATTAGAAGTGGAATTAATAAGAACAAGAAATATGTGAAACTGTTGTTGTAAATGTGCTGAATTTTAATACTAGTGAGCTTTGAAGGCCACACATCTTCATGAGGCAGATTTTTATCATGTTATAATGTCTTAGTACTGTCCTTCCCTAAAGCATATTTTATTTCATTGTATAATTCATTAATTACCACAATTTTTTCATAGACTAAGCTTTCTAGAGCCATACATCTCACCACTGCTGGTTAAATGACTTCCCTCACTTCCCTGGAGTGGGAGTGGGTTATTCATCCATCACTAGAGATGCCAGGACACATTTGACAAAAACATACAGCCTGTGAAGGTTGACCTATTTGAGGTAAAACAGAAAAGCAGAGGATAGAGGGTTAATTTATATCACAGCCCAGTGTTGCCTGGCAGTGAATCAAACACCCAGTGTCCTCACTGAGGAACATTAAGATTGAGCGTACAACACCACCAAAACCCAATTTCGGTTGTAATTTGCTATTATTCACTCTGATGAAGTACTCACTCTAAGTGGCTTTGACACCTCAGGTTCTGCTGGCGGAGCTGAAGGGGCAGGGACAGTACTTTGCTGTGAAGGTTCTGAAGAAGGATGTAGTCCTCATGGATGATGATGTGGAGTGTACCATGGTGGAGAAGAGAGTCCTGGCCCTTGCCTGGGAGAACCCATTCCTCACACACCTCTACTCCACATTCCAGTCTAAAGTAAGCACACACGTACTGAACAACTCTACTAGTGAAACATTTAAAAAGATGTTTTCTGATCAGGAATCAACCAGGGCTGCAGCGGTAAGAGCGACAATTCCCTGTTGTTGATAAAGACCCACACTCCCCCCACACCCCCTAATCCTTTCTTCTTCCTCTCACACTCTTCATGCTTCATTTGTCAGCGACAGTGAGCTGACAATAAATCTGTTGTTTGAACAGGAGCACCTCTTCTTTGTAATGGAGTACCTGAACGGAGGTGACTTGATGTTCCACATCCAAGACAAAGGCCGCTTCGATCTCAACAGAGCCACGTAAGTATACTGTGATACTGTGTAAGGAACTATGAGTAATACAGCAACCGTCATTTTTCGCAATGGAAGATCTGTAGCTGTACCTCTGAATCATAGTAAAACTGGGTTTAATGCTTGTTTTGCACATTTCAACCTTCAGGTTCTATGCTGCTGAGATAATTGTTGGACTGCAGTTCCTCCACTCAAAAGGAATTATCTATAGGTAAGACCCAACAGTCGCTCTGTACCAGTGTCTGCAATCTCTATATTCAACCTGTTACACCAACAGAGTAGACTGGAACTGAAACCCTTTTATTATATTAGACTACAGTACTTCAAACAGAATATACTGTAGTGGAACTGGTTGTGCATTGTTTTATATTCTTTCTTCTGTCTTTTCTCAGAGATCTGAAACTGGACAATGTGATGCTGGACAAGGATGGACACATAAAGATTGCGGACTTTGGAATGTGTAAAGAGAGTGTTTTTGGAGATGTCAGAGCCACCACGTTTTGTGGGACACCAGACTATATCGCACCAGAGGTTAGCTTCAGAGCCTGGCAGATGTCACATTTCATCCCACTATGTTTCCATCAAAATCATTAAAATATATTTGCTCTGCAATTTTCTTTTGAACATCCTTTTTTAAATGTGAAGCCCCTTTCTCACCTTCTTACGCATTCCATCATTCATTCACAGTATGTTTGCCCCCTAGTGGTCATAATGAGGCATGGCAAAGTCACTAGACTGGAGTTATTAACTTGGCTTCTTCAGTACTAATGAACACCAGCAGAGTGTTTCCACTTAGACAGTCTGTGTCCCTTTCCTCCTTATTAACTTCTGATGTCTCATCTCAGATCCTACTTGGACAGAAGTACACCTTCTCTGTAGACTGGTGGTCTTTCGGCGTGCTGGTGTACGAGATGCTGATTGGTCAGTCACCTTTCCAAGGTGACGATGAGGATGAGCTGTTTGAGTCCATCAGGTCGGACACCCCTCACTACCCTAGGTGGATCACCAAGGAGGCCAAGAGCCTGCTTGAGCTGGTAACTATGAGGATACACATGGGCACCCTTTGTTCCCCCCAGGCAGAAACATTGTTTACATCATACACATGAATGGATTTCAGTGCATACATTCCTCCTTATCACAACATAGTATTGTAGGGAGTTGTTCTGTGTCATTCCTGTAATCAAAAGGGCTTCTTTCCCTCCATCATTTTTCCAGTTGTTTGAGCGAGATCCCAGTCGCAGGCTGGGTGTGGTGGGAGACATCCGTGCACATGCGTTCTTTAAAACCATCAACTGGCCAGCACTGGAGAAGAGAGCAGCGGATCCTCCTTTCAAGCCCAAAGTGGTATGAGTCTATAGTTTTATTTCTCAACAAACTATGTGTTGTCTAAAATCCATTTGTGTAAATATGGTTGCATGCATCTAGGATACTGATGACTTCAGTATGCTTTGTTACATTAACCTGACTTGCCACCCACAGAAATCCCCCAGTGACTGCAGCAACTTTGACCGAGAGTTCCTGAGCGAGAAGCCACGGCTCTCCCACGCGGACAAGAACCTCATCGACTCCATGGACCAGGCAGCATTCGCTGGCTTTTCCTTCGTCAATCCCAAACTGGAACACATGATAAGCAAATGAAAAAGAAATGGCTCCCCTGGGAACATGGTCTTTGCCCAGCACTTCGAAATAGTCTCTTGTATCTTCATATGGTCATCTGGATGGATAACAAGACCATAAAAAGATTTGGGCTTGACCATGACTTCTTTAGTTCCTCTATCAGAGGATGAGATAAAAATGAAATCAGGAGGTTTGCTGGTATCTAAAGCAATAATCCTGTTTTAGCTGTCAAACTGTAAAGGTGTATAAAATAATATAAAGCTCCAGGAAATTAAGGGAGATTTTGAAGAAACGATACCCTAATCAATGCAGGGGGGGCATAGTCAATTATGCATTCTGTCTTTTCTTACTTTTCTGTCATTTTGTCCTTGTGATTATACTTTGAGTCTGAACGAATCATCAAATGTACTGTATCTGAAATTTTTAACTCACAGGCACAAGCATGGCACCCTTATGTAGTTATATTAATATATACATCTGGCATTGCACATGCAAGTCAAGAGAGTTCAGTGGTCCATAGTGTGTTCGCTCTCACCCTGTGTGCTTTGCCAACTGTATGCCTCCTATTACACTCCACCTGTGTGTGTTTGTGCATGTAAGTGTGAGGGTGCATGCAGGTTTATTTTTGTTTGTTTTTTTTAAGCTTCAAATGGTGCTACTGTAGTCGGAAACATTGAACGAATCCTCAGTTGATTCCTGATTTTATTATGCCTTTATCTAGCAGACAGGTACAGGCATAATAGAGAGAGTTGTACTTTAAAGTTGAGGGAAATTAAAATCCCTCTGAATTGAAATAATGTTATTGTGGAACTGAATAGTTTCCACCCTCACTGCTCTAAGCACACCCCAGTCTTACATAACTTCAAGTGTTGGTTTTTTTAATTTAACACAGGATTTCTCCACGGTAGTCTACTAGTCTTTTTTGTGCCAAGGGTGTCAAATGTCTTGTTGTGCATCAAACTAAAGCATAGTGCAAACAATCATCCATAATATTAATTTTCTGGGCCATCATCAGACCTACTGGAAAGTTGCAACAATGGTACATCTGTATGTGTTGAAGCATGTGTCATTTTGTGTGGGAGGGATGGGCATTTCACTGTAAGAATAGGGTCTTATATGTGTTATATTACTTGAATGTAGGAATTCTAACGTGAAAATAATAGTGCTGTACATTGAAAATGAATATGTATGTTACCATGAGCTGTCTGTGAGTAATGGGTGTACTTTTTTACTCGTCTTTTACATCTGATTATAAATAAATATATTGTACATTCTAAATCCATGTCAGACAGTGTCACTTGGTTTTTTTTTAAGTTAATTTACATGTGCTGTAGACTTTGTGTCACAAGGCTTCAAATGTAGAAGCTTCTACAAAAACAAAAATCCTTTTGTAAGGACTTGCATACCATAGAAATTCCACTACTAATCACTGCATTCCTGCTGTTATGGTGTGGCCCTCTGCACCGCTGGCGTCCACTGATTTAGTATATTGGATGGTGCCTGTTCTGGACGCTGTGACATAGCCTCTGCAGAAAGTCCTTTTATAAGGGCACCACAACATGTCCAAGTACCAAAGGGAATTTCTAAGTATGAGCTAAAGACCTGTCAGGGTTACTGCCATCTAGCGGTCAGGTGCTATAGCTGCACCTCCCGTGTAACGTGTGACCGATTGACGAGGACATTCCTGCAGTGCGCACGGCTCATGACCTGTCCTCGTCCTCTGTCCCCAGCAGTAATCCGCTGTCTGCTGCACAATGTGGACAGTGAGCAAATACAAGAGGCACAAAACAGCGAAGTGCACTGAGCAATAAACCTGTTCAAGTTATTGAGTAATTTGCCTTCATGCAAACAGCCTTCCACACCAATTCAGCATTAAAGTTGTAGACCTTTAAAAAATAAAATGACCCTACACAGCTGTCAGATTAAAAAGCATGATCCAAATGACAAATCAACAAATGCATGCTTTTTCTGAGCCTAATTTGCTGATATTAGTTGCATAGTCCTCTGTTTGTAAGCTTCTAGAGAGAGCAGCTGAGCGCTACACTTTAATAAAATGACTGAATGAATTTGGGAGTAAATGCCAGCCTCCCTTTTGATTTATTCATGGCTCTCCGATTGTTTCGACTGTTCAGGCAAGATCCGATCGCTTTTCTCCAGCCCGTTTTTATTGTACGGTTTCCACCTCAACGCATGCAAAACGCGGATTTTTTTTTTTCTTTTGTTATAATAGGCATCCGAAGGGCTGGTCTATTGTGGAGGATTATCTGAGTCAGTAGCCTATATGTGGTCCAAATGAGCGGCAAAACCTGTTTCAGGCTACAGATTAGGCTTCAAGGATCCCAGAAACGCCTTTTTAAAACGACAAATACGCACATTTAATAAATAAAGCATATTTATAGTACGAAATAGATGCACTTTGAGCGTTGCACTCACAGTGTCAAGGCATATTTCCAGCAGTTTCTCCCACCCTCTCCTCCCCAAAAAACCCGACTTGAGATCCTTGTGCAGCAGAAGTACCGTACCACTACTGATTTTATCAAGTCATTATGATGGGGCGTAATTGTGATTTATTTAAAAAAGTAGTTGCCCATTCAGCCTTTTTTGTGCATTTTTATTGACTTAACACATATTAATATTAAAGGGGGAATTAAGCAACTCGAGGTCATCTTCAATAACAAAACCAATAGACTATTTCCTTCAAAAACGAATTGTTTTTTTCGTGGCAAAAAGCAGCGCACTTATCGAAACTGGGTCGATTATATATGTGCAATTAATTGTATGTCAGCCAATAACTAAGTGTTGATTCCGCTGGGGATGAACCCCCTTTAAAGACTGCTGGGGTTAACCCTCGTGTGCTCGTAAAATGAATACAAACGGGAACCATTCTGCTTTTTTTCCCTTTTGTTTTGCGCGTGTTACAGATGTTGGTCTTGATTCTGGTTGTGTGATATTTTATTGTGTGTGTGAAGATGGAAGTCAGTGTGATGTAGCCGGGCTCAGAGGCATATAGGCGGCAGAACATGCGCAGTGGCCATTTGTGCCATATTGGAATGAGGTCGTGTGGACGAGAACTGCGTCAAGCTAGCGCGACGCTGCCGGAGCGACACCGGAAGTCTCGCGATTTAACCCTCGGCACGGAAAGTCTCGCTGTTGCTTAGGCGACGGCGGCAACTCCCGCTCTTACACGCGTTTTATTTTGAAACGTCCAACCGGGGTTCCCGGTTTTTATTCACGGTAGCTTAACACTGCTGCGAGCGAGCAGGCGGAGAGGAACGGCATCTAAAAACCGACTTGGAAAAACTACTTAGCGGTAAGGGGCGAATTTTGCGACTAAATATTCACATACTGTGTGTTGTTTGTTACAAATCCCTAACGGTGTTTTGTACCGTGGTGGCGCATTCGCCTTTTTTCCCGTCTCTCAAAAAGATGAGTCGGGTTCGGTCGAGTGTAAGCGCCCTTATTGCTCGTCAGCCTGCTCTTATTGCTCAAGCTGTGACGTTCAGTAACTTGACTCGGACACAGGCGATTTTACCATGTGTCCAACGAGTCCCGCACGGTCGTTGTTCATTTAGGACGGCATGTTTATTTATTACACAGCAATTAAATAATTTTCTCAGTCGGTATTTGTGATGTTCTCCTCAGAGTGAAAGTTAGACCGTCGGCGCTGTAGTCTCTCTCTCTCTCTCTCTCCCTCTCTCTCTGCAAAGCCGTTGCGTTAATGGCCCATCTCTGTTTCTGAATGCTGCGGTTAGTCCGTACGAGCAGTGCAACCTTTAAGCTAGTTTCAGTTCGAGGATTGTGTGGACATTTCCAGCGAACTGCCCTCGAACAACTCCGTACATTTATAATGTCGAAGTCTTACATAATGAAGGTTGCACGACCTCAGCCGACGTGTGTTCGCGTGTAGCTCTCAACAAACAAAACAGCCTAAATAAACTCATCTCTTCACCAACGCTGCCCGCCTCAGTACGCTTCCACCAGCTGATGAGCGGGCTGATGCTCGGGACGTTGTCATGTTGTTGTTGTTGTCATGTTGTTGTTGTCATATATATATATATATGTTGCTGTCATTTCCCACGCTGACTTATTGCAACCTTATTTTTTTTCTTCTTCTGGCTCTTAACTTCCCCATTGTGCAACTTGAGTGATCCGCCGGCAGCGTTGTTGCAACTGCAGGCTGTGTGGAGGAAACGTGGATTTGTCCTGTCAGCAGCCCCGTTTGGTTGCAAGTTATAGCTGGTGTAGCAGTGGACAGTAGTAGTGTGAGAGAGCCCGTGGATTTACAATGCGCTGAACAGGCCAGCTCCCATTGCTTGGTCTTCAGTGCGTCCCTTTGTTGACAGCCACAATGTCCGTATTAATGACAGTGAGCCTGTTTTTAAAGTTAGTTGAAACGCATTGGCAGGTGTAAGTCATCCTCTGACAGGAACCTTCACTGGGCTGCACAATCATTTGGTTTCGGTTACTGTTATCAGGAGTTGTATTGAGTGTAAAACTACCTCCGCTGTTATTTACCTCAAGTACAATTAAAAACCCTCATATTTACTTATAGTAGCCTACTGTTGACCCATCAGCCACATGGTTTTGGTTTAATGGTGCCAAGACTTCATTCAGTGATGGTTCTGACCGCGTTAGAGGAGGGGGTGCATGTTATTTCCCAGCATTGAAAACAGCAGAATCTCTCTGCAGAAACAGTGTCCCTGTTAAACAATGTAATCCACAGACTTCACTGTGAACAGTTTTCATTAGAACCAGGGCTGCAACTAAAGATTATTGTCCTTATCGATTCAAATGGCGATCAGTTCCTCAATTAATTGATTAGTGGTTTGGTCCATAAAATCATGAAAAATGCTGATCACTGTTGTCCAAAGCCCCCAGCTCAAAGGTCTTGTTGTGTCCACAATCCAAATATACTCTGTTTACTGCCGTCGAGGACTAAAGAGACACTTTTTCTTTAGAAATGACTCAAAACAAATAATCAGTTATCAAAATAGTTGGCAACTAATTGATTAATCAACTAATCATTGCTGCTCTAATTTCTACCAAAGAAATAGTTCCTATAAAAACAGTTCACACTGAGAATCATTGATTATTTAGAGTTTCACAAATTCCAATCACTTCAGCTGTATTAGGGTGAAGGCAGATATTTCAGAGACTGATACGTCCAAACTGGCACCATGAAACCAAAACTAACTGCGTGGCTCGATAGCACTATAAGTGAGTGAGAAAATATGTTTTTGTGCTTTGGTTGACATTAACCTTTTAGTGACACAAATGAATAACACGCCATGGTATAACACCAGTGCAAATAATAATAATAAAAAGCAAATAAGTGCACCTCTGAAAATGGGTTTATTTATGTTTGAATATAGACACTAACAGGAGGACATACTAATTTTCCGCTACATTAGTTCTTATAATGTAATGTCGTCTACTGGTGATCAGCAGATGACATTAAATAGTGTTTGGGGAAATGTTTCAGCAACTGATTTCATTTTATTGAAAGTTGACTTTGATTTTATTTCCCGGAGAAGCCGTATTGTGTGAGAATGTGTATTTTGTCAGATTGCCTATCCCACCCAGGGTCCTCAGAGGTTCAGGAAGGCCTGTTTAGAAATAGTCAATTGGATGCTAAGTGCTGATAAGAATATGATTCAGTAAGTGCTTGTAAAGAGGATGTAGTGTGGATCTCAGTTCTCTATGAGTGTGTGTGTGTGTGTGTGTGTTTGTGTGGGTGTGTGTTCATCCTTTCTCTTTCAGATTCAGTCAGTCTCGGGTGGTGTAGAAAGATTCAGGCAGACTGCAGCTAGCTGTGGTCCACACACAGACCACTTACACTGCGTATGAAACAGGGGAAGTTGCATTTCTTCCTGTCTGCCCGTACGAGCAGAGGCCGTGCTATTCTACAAAGTTAAGTGCTGTAGAAACCTGACAGCTCGTATTTTGAACTATCAAGTGATATTTCTCTGCTGTGTTGTAATCGATGTACATCTTAGAGGTGATAAACAGACACTGTTTTATTCTTTTTGAGAATGGCTGATTCAGTTTGGTCTTGTTTGAATTGCATCAGAAATCATCACAAACATAGAACAGCCATGAAATCGATTGCAGAACAAGGCCCCAGGAGTTTGTAGGTAGACATATACAGAACAGAATCAACTTAAAATCCCACCATAAACTCTTAAATGATCTAATATGTAAGCTCAGCATCAGGTGTCAAGATGCAGCTTAAACTTTCTACTCCACTGCTCTTTTTTTTCCTCCACTCTTATGTTTGGAGAGTGACCCCCAGGGACAATAAGGCCCTCTGGCGTGTATGTATGCGTCGCAGGGAGGGGGAGAAAGACAGAGGGAGTCTGGGGCAGGGTCGCGGGTGAAAGGTGGCGTTGATCCCGGCGGAGCACGGGGGTCGCGGTGGCAGTCCGGCCGTCGGGAGGGGGTGGTTTCTGGTGCTCGCCCTGGTTTTAATAGAGACGTCAGATGTGACAAAGACGGGCCTGACAGGCCGGCTGAATGGAGCTGCCGTGACAGAGCAGCTATCCTCCGCATCCCATACACCGCTCTCTCCACTGTCGTCACGCCCCGCGCTCCCCTCTTTCTTATTCATGCCATCTCTCTTGTTGTATTAACATATTTCATCTGCTTGTCACAATGCTGCGGGTCTGTCTGATGTGTCAAAGCTTGATGTGTGTGTCCACATTCGTGTCAAGGCACTGTTTTGAAATCTTCACATCGGGGCAGGAAAAGGTACACCATCATCCAAAAGGGGCTTCTTAAGTAGTGGTGGAGCTGGAGATTAGCATAGTTTAATATATTTCCCGCCGATCACATACCATCTGGTGTGTTATGGAGGTGGTAGCCTGTGCCACCCCAAATGAATGACAAATGTGCAGCATGTCATTTGAGATTTTATTCACCACTTATTGTGTTTTTGTATTGATTTAAATCAGATAGAGGCACTTGAATGTTGATGTAGAAATTTAACCAAGGATTTGGTATCTTTACAACTCCATTATCAAGGCCTTGGAGTGGCTGAAAAAATGCAAACAAATGCAAAATAGTTTCATTTTGGCCTTGAAGCAGTGTTTGTAAATTAAGTCTGTTGAATTTCGTCTGCAGCTTGACCAAAAGTTCCTTCTCCGCTATATTAATGTGTTTGAATGTTGACTGATAATGTTTTTATCATCTGTAGCTGTTGGCTGATAGATGTGTCTTAGGTGGTGTACTGTAGTTATGGCAGCCGGATGAAGGTGGCTGTTTCACACTTTTTTGGTAACTTTCTGCTGATACAGTTTGGCTTGTGAACTGCTGAGCGGGCCGTTACACGCCAGTGGCATCACCCGTCTCATTATTAATCATATAGTTGTCGAAAACAGTAGCAGGTTCAGATTTTACTGAGTACTGTTGAGACGTCGGATGGTGATTTGATTAAACCCGGGCACAGCATAGTGTGCTGCAGATAGACTGCGAGGAAGGCGGCTCAGCGAGACATTTTCACTTCTATGTTTTGGACCAGCACTCATTCATTTACCCTCGCAGGATAATAATCCTCTTCTGTTTCTCCACAGAGTTGCTAGTCTTGGCCTTGAGGGGGCACCAGCATGAGTCAGGAGTCACTGGAGTCTGGTAAGAACTACTCTGTGAACAGCTGCGTGAAATGAGTAAGATAATATGTTTTGGAGAGCAGGTTGGAAAAATGTGTTTTGTGTGTGTGTGTGTGTTCCAGATGGAGACTCTGCCCAGGATGTGTCTGACTTTAACTGGGATGACTTCCTGGAGGAGACTGGAGCCGTGTCTGTGCCCCATCATGCCTTCAAACATGTGGGTGCTGACAACCTTCACAGATAACACAGATCAGCTAAGCTTGTACCAGCTATACATAATCAATTGCTAAATTACTTTTACCTTTTCTTATTTGTTACTAAGTTTTAAGTAACTGCTCTTTAGTTTCAAACTAAATCTGAAGGCATGACTCAGATCTATGGAATGAGTCAGCTAGTAAAGCCCCGAGTAATGTGATTAGAAGCATCCAGTCGTAAAGCATAAACACAGAAGTAACTAACAAAGCTTCTATAGATAACAGTTTTAACATGTGATACTTAGCTGCAAACTGGAAGAAAAAAGCCAATAATAGCATAGATTAAAAGTTCTCCTCTCCTCTTGTCTTTGTGCACTAAGTTGTTTTTTGTGTGCCAATCAAGTTAATGATTCCATCCGTTCTTCTGTCCTCGTCTCAGGTGGACCAGGGCCTGCAGACAGGACTGACTCCAGGCATGAAGCTGGAGGTGTGTGTGCGCTCAGAAGCTGACAGTCCTTACTGGGTGGCCAACATCATCACCACGTGTGGCCAGCTGCTGCTGCTGCGCTACGAGGGATACCAGGATGATCGGCGTGCCGACTTCTGGTGTGACATCATGACGGCAGACCTCCACCCGCTGGGCTGGAGCCGCCAGCATGGGAAGACCATGAAGGCCCCTGAGGGTGAGGCATGGGTGGTCTTGGCATGGTGTTCTGATAAAGGTGTAGTGGATGTTGTAATCTGCCTATGGACACTAAAAAAGTAACATAGACTGATAAAAACAAAAGTTGGTCTGGTGCCAAATATAATTTTTTGTTTTTGTAAATCAAATTCTCTTACTATCAGTTTTATTGATAAATTGCAGATGTTGTGTAACTTTAGTTTGATACACATTTAGTGCTTCCACTTTACTTTTGGGGGCATTTTTTTCTTTTTCCGTGAGTGCTTCAAGGACAGGCTCTGCCACCAATTTTTTTGTACCATGTACTCAGAATGCTATTTAGTGGTGGAGCTTGAACTAAGTAATTGCACTTTTGTTCAGTGTAGCAAGGAGTAATGAATATTTCTGCTGCCACAGTTGTCTCAGATAAAACGCTTGTGTCTAATGTTCTAGCTTCACGAGGAATAGTTTTGTGGGGAAAATGGTAAAAAGCTTTGCAGTTTTTGATTCAACGTTCTGAAGCAATTACACAGTTTTTCTTCTGTTTATTTTCGATTAATGCTACCTAATTAGCACTTTGACACCTATATTTGTTAACTTGTTAAAACAAAGAAATAATCTAAAAGCAAAATACAAAATACTATAATAGATTTAATAATGTGTTATTTTTTTATTAGGGCCATACTAAGCCTAAACTAAAATATATATATATATATATATATTATTTTTTTTTTTTTTTTTTTTTTTTTTTTTTTTTTTTTGTTGGAAATTTACAAGAAATAGTCATAATATTACGAATAAAGTCATAATATTACGATAAAGTCATAATTACGAGAATGAAAGTTCATAATATTAGGTCTGCGAGAATAAAGTCATAACATTACGAGGATTGAAAGTTGGAACATTACGAGAATAAGTCATAGATAATTAGGCGAGAATATAAGTCAATTAACTGTTTATACGACGAATGATCAATACGTTAGTTTAACTGTTGACTGGTACGGTACGACTGAGACAAACAGCAGCTGCTGGGCTTCAGGCTGAGGCTGATGTTGGTTGAGCTGCTCTTTTTATTTTTTTTTTTTATATTTTTTTTTTTTTTTTTTTTTTTTTTTTTTTTTTCTGTATTATTAATAAAAATTATTCTCGTAATATATCAACTTTATTCTCATAATAATTATGACTTTAATTCTCGTAAATTGTAATTTCCCAAAAAATAAAATATATTTTTTTCTTAGTCTGGCCCTAATACTCCGTCGTAATTTGTCAAATAATTCCAGTAGTTATTTTACAGTTGATGTGATTTAGGGTGACAGACAGAGTAGTGTTTGTGTGATCCTGAGCCCACCTAGTTGGTTGGTAAATTAAAAAAAAAACTGTCTGTGTGTGTGTATGATCCACCTCAGGTGTGCGTGAGAAGCACCAGGACTGGGAAGCTCTGCTGGAAAAGGCCTTGGCCGAGGAGTGCAGTGCGCCTGCCAGCCTGCTGGAATTGGTAAGGCAGGGGAACGGAGCAGCTGTCCTTCTCCTCCTCACACCCACAATGGGGTGTCTCAAGTCTCTGTGGCAAGAACAATCTCCTGCATCAGTACTGATTTATTTAATTTGACAACTTTAAAAAACACATGAAGCAGTAAAAAAAAACAGTTGAGGTTGTCATAATAAAGTCAGACTTTCCTCATTACTGTTCAAGTGGTGAAGCAAGTTCAGTAAATACAACTGACATTAGAAAAACACCCTGTTGACAGTTTATACCCTCAGGTGATCAGAATCGCCAATTGTGACTCTGCATTGTTGAGACACACACACACACACGCTGTGGAACTGTTATGTTTTGTTTTACTGTCATTTGCTACTTGTAGCTTATATAGTGTTGACTTCTTTCCAAGCACCAAGTGGGTTTGTTATGCCCATTTGAAATGGCAAAAATACAGTTCACACTGAAGGTGCCCATTGGAATTGTCAACTTGAACTAAAGTCCCAAGTCTAGAAAAAACAAGGCTCTGAGCTTTTGTTTACAGCACCAAGTCTGTGCTGCTGAAAGCAAATGCAGTGTAGGAACAGCCTGTGAAATTCTTTAGAGCCATTAGTTAGCTTTCAGTGACTGTGCTTCAGTTCTGCCACTTAGTCATGCAGTTCATTCTCTCCCAGTACAAATTCCTATCCTTGCCTAGGCGTGTGTTCATTTGTGTTTGTGTAAATGTGTGTGCTATCAGCTTCTCATTTACCACCCTTCTCCACCTCCCCCGCAGCCACAGCGCGGAAGAGACCCGGTGGAGCTTCTGTGTGCAGGCTGCTACGTGGAGCTCCAGGACAGCGTCGACCTGGGGCTGGCCTGGGCTGCCGAGGTAGAGGAGAATGTCGGAGGAAGGCTGAAGCTGCGCCTGGTAGGCACTGAGGGCCTCCCAGACACACCTGCAACCCTCTGGCTCTTTTATCTCCACCCACGCCTCCACCCACCAGGCTGGGCTAAAGAGCATGGCTGCACCCTCAGGCCTCCCTCAGGTCAGTGGCTCTGACACGGGTCAGATTTTTATATTTAGACACCAAAAATAAAGGGAAAATGATCTCTAGATTTCACTGTTTACTGCCAAAGCATGCATGAGTAATAGTTTCTGATGGAAGGACACATGAAGAATTCACAGGGCAATCATCAACTGGGTGGATGCATGGCCAGTTATTTTAAATAATCCTATGATAGAATCACTGCATCAGATCTAATGTTTTATTATCATACTATCTCATGTTTATTACCTACTTACGTTCAATCATTTCTATGTCATGTTTCTTTATTTGTCTCATTATGTGAGTTATATTAACATTTTGCAATACTTTGACAAGTGCATTGTGATGAATTACAAGTAACTAATATCCAAAATGTGATGGTATCCCACTAGACCTTGAAATAGATTTTCCATGCAGGGTTAGATTGATCCTTGTTTTCAGGGCTGCTAATGCTCCTTAAGTGAATAAAGTTTGTTAATATGCAAGGTGTAAGAAAAACTGGAGGCTATATCTATTTCCTGACAAAGCTGATCTTCCTTCTGGTACAACTACAGCTGAAGACTTATTGATATTTAATGCCAGGCTTGTATTGCTAGGATTGTACCTGGATACTGTGCTTTTGCAAGTTAATAGAATGTAGTGAGCAGTAGTGGTGCATTAAGCTGATCACAATCATATATTTTAGCTTTTCATGAAAGAATATGGAAGATGTGATGCTTTTATATATGTAATGAAAGGTAAGTTCAGCCTTATTAATTGTGCAAGTCATTTTCTGTATAAGGCTGTCGGGAACCCAGCGTCTTGTGATAAGACATTAATGTGTTTTGTAGTTGAAAAAAAGTTTTTTGTTTAGTTTTGGTTTTAGTTTTTGTCTGCTTGTATAATTAATTGTGGCAAGCTGTTTGGGGGTCCAGCACAAAGAAAAAGCTGACACACAGAAGTCCAGGCATATAGGTTTTGTTATTCAAATAAGGAACCGCATAGAGAAAAATTGAATCAGTACGTTTTACCTTTTCATTAAACATTTCTTTTATAATCAAATTATATGCCAGTCATCTGGAAGTCAGGTTTAGTTCTTCAGCGGCTGATTTGTTTGTATTTGTTTGCTTCAGACCTGTTGGCCCTGCGGACAGAGGAAGAGTGGGAGGAGGTGAGACAGAGGATCAGTGAGCTGCCTCAGGATGAAGCTCTGACTGCAGAGTTCAGTAAGGTACTGCCAACTGTGCTCCTATTTGTTCTAACTGACCCAAACATATCACTCAGATTTGAGATTTGATTATTAAGCAATGAGCAAAGATTTGTGACCTTCTCCTCCCAACTGGGTGCTGAAACATTTCTAAGAGCTGAGGTTTTGGAAATGACTCTACGTGTGTGTGTGTGTGTGTCTCAGGATCAGCCTGCCATTGCTCCTCATTGTTTCAAGGAAGGAATGAAACTGGAGGCTGTTGACCCTGCTGCTCCTATTTCCATCAGGCCTGCCACTGTCACCAAGGTAACAGACTTTCCTATCAAATCTGTCTCTCCTATGCTGCATTGTTTCACTCCTGTTTGCTGTTTATTGGCAATAGTTGTTTATGCGTAATATTTTTATAACCACACTGTCTTTAATTAGTTAATTCTGTAGCTAGAAAATGATAACCGCAGAGTCTTAAAAGACCTCAAATGTGGTTGAAACGATATCTTTTTGAACTCACAATGTTTCTATTTAATCACACGGTCTAGTAGATCTCCTTTAATTTATATAAGTCTGACTCGGTGAATAGCTGTCAATTAAGAATGTCCCTCTATAACCTCCTCTCCACAACCAGGTGTTCAATGAGCAGTACTTTCTGGTGAAGATGGACGACCTATGTGGTATTGATGAGTCAGAGAGTGCCGGGAGGTCCTTTCTGTGTCACAGAGACAGTCCAGGGATCTTCCCTGCTCAGTGGAGCCTCAAAAATGGGGTCCCTCTCAGCCCCCCACCAGGTCTGCACTATCTGATGTTGTCCCTTTATTTTATCAGTTACCAGTGATACCAGAACTTAAGGAATGACAGTGAATAGATCACTCATGCTTTCTTTCTGTCCTTTCTTTTATCATGTACAGGATACCAGGGTCCAGACTTTGACTGGGCAGATTACCTGAAACAGTGTGAGGCCGAGGCAGCTCCTCAGCCTTGCTTCCCAACTGTAAGTCAAGCTGCGTTTTACCCATTTTTTACAAGAAGGTCACACTGGTCAGTCTTCAGTGTAAAGTTTAGTGTCATGTCCAGCGACTTATGTAAAAACCCACCACCAGATGCTGGTGAGACCCACACTTGTAACATTGGTCATTCAGTGAAAGTGTCAATGTGAAATTGGTTATTAACCGGCGCCCAGCGCATCATGTGCTCTCCATCGGTCATTGTAGCAATCAGGATTAAATGTGAAATTTGTTGTAGGTTAATATTATTATATTGCTTTCATACGAAGGCTGCATGATGTCTTTGCTATAATGCAGTGCCCCTGCATCAATGAATAACATTTTTATAGCCATTGGCAAGCTGCCAGCGCTAAAGCCTTCTTACTACTTGGGTTGCATTATACAAGCAACAATTAAGGCTACTGAAGAGATCTTTTTTATGGAAATGAAATAAACTCTTAACTGTATACAGGTTCAGTTTTTGTGTGATTTAATCCCATAGAGAGCAGTAAGACTGATATTATATTAAAAAAAAAATGGGTAAAATCTCATATGACAGGAGACGATACGTAAAAAACATTTATAACAGCATCGGGATAGCAAAATATACAATCTATTGTCTCAAAGTATAGCATCTACAAAGCTGCAAACCACCGACAATGACTATGCTTACATGGCCTGCCTGTAGAGAATACAGCATATAGCAGTGAAATCTGAGCCATGTTCAA